GAAATTCCTGCTGTTAGTTATAAAAACAGCTGACTGTCCTTTGAGTTTATGACTTCATTTCTATGCCAACTTTAAAGTGTCTTCATTATTATCTGCGTTGCTAAAAAAGAACCTAAACAGCCAGTGACCGAAGGTTACAGCTGCGATAATGTCACTGTCCTCATCATTATTCAGTTTATTTTAATTTTATCTAGTTATAAAGTTTGCAGACGGTTTAAATACCAGGGAAAGGTCACGTGGTGGTAATGGAGTACGAAAGCAATGCACCACTTAAGGATCGTGGACTGTTAGCTTAGGGACATTAAATGGATTCAGCCAGTGAATTTTAACTGTTGGGCAGAGGGGGAGAGATGAGAAAGATTAAAAAGAGTGTGCGGGTGACAGTGCCCAGAAAACCAATAAAATCAAACAATACGACAAGACCACAGTTGAGAGTACAATTCCCAAAATAACCCTTGAGATATTGCCTGTATACTGAATGTTAAAATGAATACAATCATCATGTGTTACCAGCAATAAGAAATAGAAAGAAATCACTTACTTCTAGTGATATAGAAAACCAAAGTGAAACTGGAGCTTGTGGATTCTCCTGCAGAAATAAGAAAACCAAATTCAAAATAACATTTGTCACACATTAATGAATAAGTCTTCTTAACACCCTTTGAAAATCTTGTTTTTTCTGACACCTGGTGGTGCAAGTCCTCACCTTGCTGCAGTGATGTACAGGTGTACCCCAGGACTTTGTGACATCACTGTCACACGCACACCCTCTGACGACACCCAGCAGCACTGATGGGGTTGGGTGTGTGTGTGTGACAAAGAGGGGGCAGTGAAGTTCTGCTTTTCAGCGTGGTGTTAAGTTACTTCTTAAAGGTTTGTTGCGTGAATCACAATCTGTCTAGACTGAGATGGTAAATTCTTAAAACATTATAAATAGCAGGTTTTGGTTCCCGACCTTTGGGTCACAGGATTATTCTGAGTGGTTGAGAGTAAACCATTTTGGAAAGCAGAAAAAAAATGTTTTCGCAACACAAACTTTTAACTGGGCAATTTTAGATATTAGCAAGGCAAATTCATGTTTGCACGAGTGCTTTACATAATATATAAAAGACATTAATTTTTTTATATTAAGGCCTGTGCAAAATTTTCAAGTTCATTGAGGCAATTTTCACCATATAAAGTATTTCCAATGAAAACACAGTGAGGTCTGTGAATTATCAAGAGTAACTGGGACACTGTGTCTCGAAAGAGATGTTGGTGTTGAATTTTTTAAATGTAGTCTTTATTTCTGTGAAGACCACAACAAAACTCCATCCACTTTCACTGAATCAGGTTGGAGGCCGAAATTTACCTCAAAACCAAAACTATTCTCCTGGCTGCTGAATACTATTAAAGGTGAGAAGATCCTTGCTTTGTAATTTGGATGAACTAAACTTTTAAACAAAAGTCCAAGAGTCTACGTTCGCCAGCCAATGTCAGGACGCTACAGAGGAAGCCAGACCAACCTGGTAGTTAAAGACACAGGGGCGACCCACAACACAAACACCTTGTGCTCAGCAGCACAGGGTGCCCTTTATAGGGAATGCAGAAAGCAGTGGCAACCCAGTTTGTTCACCATCCATCACTGTAGCACAGCAATTTACCCAAACAGCAGAGTAGTGTCAAAAATACTGGCAAGGCACAAACAAGGAAAGAACATGTCCTCAAACTGTAACTGTGGGGGTGGCGGGCGAACTGATAAACAACTTTTCAAAGCAGAATTATGGCACTGTATATATGTGGAGGCCAGGATGTGTGGGCCTTGTCTCTAAATGTGCCACAACAAATGGTGGAGGGGAGTTAAGCCAGCGTTCACGGGAGACACGCAGTAGCTGCCCAAACGGGCTTGTTAGGGGGCAGAGAGGGAACTCATCAGTGCACAAGATCACGGCTGACAGAGAAGCTTGTTAACTGCAGCACAGTAGCCAAGAGGGTGGCTCATTAGGGAGAAGCACCAGTAGCCTGCACGAGTCATGCTGGTCTCACCAGATGGCTAGCTGTCTGCTGGCTGATGAAGGACATGGACATCCATCATTAACAAATTGTGTGCAGTATGTTCTCTGTGCATGAAATCAAAAGGAAAGCGCTTTGCCACAGTTTCATATTTGAAACTTTATATCATGGGTTGCCAGAGCTTTAGTCACTTAGGTGAAGAAGCTCCATTTTAATTTTCTCCTTAGCTGCAACAAAGTTTGTCTGCGACACTTGAGACGAGAATCCTGTTGCAACATTGCCCCCTACTGGTGCCACCGACTGGAACTCCAGATTGATGGAGGCAAGATGCAATCAAAACATGAATTTCCCAATCACTTGCCCCTCAATGGACTCTTCACATGTTGCCAGCTGTCACTATAAATAACAAATTGTTTGCAATCACCCTGTCTGGATAAGTGCAGCGCTCTTGAGCTTGATTATTGCACAAGACAAGTTTCCAGTAAGGGCCAATAAATCATTATTCATCATTCACTCAGGGAGAAATCCACACTGTTACAGCATCGTCTAAATCATAAGTGGGACTTGTTCATTTAGATATTCTTTTCCGGAGCACTTCAACCAGATGATTTATTTGCTATCTAATCTCACACATATCCCAAAATTAAAAGAATTGTTGCATGGTATTACTTTGAGTTGACTGAGTGTGAATTTATCCACTGCTGATGTGATCGGAAGATGCTGGAACTTTAATTAAAAATGAGTGAATTTTGGATTGAAGAAAAGCACGACCGGGCAGAATGGAAAAAAAAAAGAATGGATGCAATCAAGCCAGGGTGATATGGACAGAATATATTACAGTTTTTCAGGGGACATAAACTACTTTTCTTGAAAAGTGTTTTAATCACTGCTGGTGCATCAGAGTAGCCATAAGAAGTACATCAAACTCATTAATTTTACCTTAAGGGTCATTTCACCAAGAAAGATTTATTACTTATCTTAAACTGCTCACATCAAAACCATGTAAGCTGCACCGAATCATTTGGCTTTAGGTTGAAGAGAAACCTTGAGTCAGCAAGTCTGAAGGTGCCCCCCCCCCCCCCCAGTGTTGTCACTTTCTGTTAATTAAATCTGACATTAACAAAGTAGAATGAATTACAGAAACAAGATATAGCTAGATCAGTTCAGCAATTGAATTAAGTTGTTCTTTATACTTTCAGAAATTGAAATTTAAAGCACTCAAAACAAAGGATAAAGGATCATCTTATAATAGAGTGGCTGAGTGGTGGAAAAAGCACTCAGAACAAATAGCAAGACAACAATATAAAAATACTCCATTACAAGTAAAAGTCCCGCATTCAAAATCCCACTTAAAGGGCCAGTACACTGACTTTACAGCCTGAGCTTGCGTTACTCTGGGGACTATAAGTCAGGATATCACGGCCTCTTTAATTAAACGGCTTCATTAATTTTTTTTATTCTATCTGACAAGCTCCCCCAACTTTATGACAGTGCAACACTAAATCACTGGATCACCTTCCAAGTAAAAGTAGACAAGTATTATCAACTACAAGACTTGCAACTGGTGAGAGGAAGCCAGTTTTTACTACTTTAGATACTTTTTTCCCTTCAATGGTCACAATGAATCTGAGGGGTTGTAAGATGAATAACAGGGTAGGAAAGAAGTGAAAACACAAGTTCTGCTACACACATTTGTCTTAATGTTGGGGCCTTTTGGGGAATATTGGATAATTCTACCTCTGGCCCTCAAACATGTATGAACGACTCGACTCTGCTTTTCTGTGAGGGATTACAAGCAAAAAACGTGAACAGTAACGAGTCAAAATAATTTAAAATATCAGTACATGCTGTTAAAAACAAAACAGCACAAGCAACAGATACATGTACAAATGGCTTCATTTAATTTATGTATTTCACAAACAATCCAAGAATTTATGAGACAAATGTACAGGAATTATTTTGCCATTTTATTTTTTTTTTCTTCACATTATTGCTTTACAGTAAAATGCATTGGTTGGATATGTCAAGTATAGCAAGACAATACATTCATATAAGTTATACAGATGTCCTCAGTAATGTTTTATAGTAACTAACTTTACATTAAATATATTTTTTAATCATTTATTATTCTTGACAAACAACTCCCACGTCACATTGAGCTCACAGTGCATCAGGTCGCATTCAATCAAGAAATACATACCGGTCCTCTCTTGTGTTCAATTGCCATTTCTAACGTGTGTTCTAAAGTGTGCGCTTACTTTGTACACAGGATTTCCGTACAATCTGGATTTATGCAGCGCTACGACAAGTATGGCATTTGAATTTTTTTTTTTTTTCTTCTTCCAAAAAAGTGACTTGGTAACAAAGATGTGAGTCAGACAACCGGTGAGGACGTAGATGATGACAAAAAGAGGATCAGTGTGTTTTTTTTTTCCCCTCATGCTGTGGTGTTACCACTCAAACCTGGCAACCGGGACATGACCACACAGAGCGACAACAACAAAAATATACACAAAAAGAAACCTTAACACTGCACATTCTGAATCAACTAAAGTACAGTACAAACATGCCTTCCCCCACCAAAAAGCATCAAAAAAAAAATAGGTCCTGTATGTACAGAAGACCCACTGAGAAGGTTGATGGGGAGGAAGGTCGGTGTCCGAGGATGTCAGTGGGAGTGTGGAGAAGTCTGTAGGCCCTGTGTGGTCACCTCCATCCAGTAAACACAGCCATTTGAACCCCGATAGAGTAGCAGCTTAAGGGGGTCCAACTTTTAAAAAAATTCCTTAAGGACAGCTCTCACGCAGGTCCGCTGAAAAGTGACAAAGTCCCGAGGGCAATGGAGGAAAGTCATCCATCCGTCCATGTGTTCCCTTGCTGCCCCTCTGCTCCTTCAGCTAGGGTTGGTGGAAAGTTAATGCCCTTGTGCAAGAGGGGACAAAAGTGGAGAAAGAGGGAAAAAAAAAGTGTAGGTAGGAGAGGGGGGAAGAAAAAAAAAAAAAAAAAAAAAAAAAAAAAAAAAAAAAAAAAAATCAGACTTTCCACAATCCCACTGTTAGAGAAGCGTCCGTGCCATTGGCTTAGTTCCTCAGCTGTCAAACACACACACACCTGTGAGCTCACACATCAAGTACTACGAGACAAACCGACGTTACATCTCCGCAGGGGATCCCCCGTCTTTATATGGCAACCTGGCAGGGGGCCTTCTGTCACATAAATTCTTTACATTGAGATTGCATATACAAGAGCCTGCTGCCAGCAGTGTGGCAGAGGAATATTTTCAACACTTAAAACGCTCCCCGCACGCTTTTCAGTTTTTAGTCTCTGCACCTCACTTGTGGACTCTTCACAGGCATTTTTGCATGATGTCAAAATGTCTGGATTGCAGTGTAGCTCGTAGCTGCCGATTTTTGTAAAATGGGTCGGGGCGGTTTCCATGGATACGCCCAGAAGCCCTCAGCCTTTTGCTGTGCTGTGGAGGAGCTGCGTTTAATGTCCCAGCATGCACTGCAGACAGAGGCGGGTGTGCTCATGGTGTTAACGAAGTTCCAGTCTGAGAGTCAAGAGCCTGGTGTGAGAAAACGTAGCGTGGGCCCGTACTGAGCACGCGCACGCACACACACACACGCGCACACACACACACACATACAATGTTCTCTTGCACACACACACAGTCACATATACACTGAAAATACACACGCACAGAAGGAAGCACTAGTTGATTCAGAATGAGAGGATGGCTGTTAAAGTGCAATATCTACATGTAACTCAAAATCAAGAGACCATCACCATCGCCACCTCTTGGAGTTGTCCTTTTCTGAGTTTCCCTGATAACCGACAGCTGTGGTTGGCACCCTTGCCCTGGGTAGAGGGGCTGCAGTACCCCCTACTGGCCAACGGGTGTTATAGCAGAGTCAGTCTTGAGAACTGCCTGGTTTCTTTGCATTTTTTTTTTATAACAACTACCTCCATGCTGCTGCTGTCTCAAGATGAGAACAAATCACCAGATGATGACAAAAATCAGATGCATCCCACATATCTGGAGACAGTTTTTTTCTGAAGTTGTGCAGAGGGAAAAGTGAAACGACCCATCACTGAATGACAATAATGCTGGAGTGGAGTCGCCACCACCAGCCTGAATACCCCTCTGAGTGGTCAAATCTCCTTACAGCACAAAGCAAGAAAAGCATTTCCATGTGCAATTTGTTTCAGTGAAAAACAGGCATGTCCTATATTTGCAACAAGCTCTCCTCCACATTTCATACTAGATAAAACCTTGTTTTGAAAAAATAAATACAAAAAACAACAACAAAAAAAGTGTTTACAAGTTTACATTGTGCAGTGCTGCATATGCATAACACCCTCACAGTCAACTGATCTGGACTGTGAATTATTTTGACACAAAGTGTCCTGAATGTCTTTTTTTTAAGAAAAGAAAGCAGATTTGATCAAGCAGATGAGGGTTGGGAAGAGTTGCGCAGGGTGTGTGAAGTGAAGCGCTAACAGTATCTGCTCCCTGATGCCAGAGGCCATGCCAGGGGAGTCAGGTCCAGGCTGGAGGAGGGGAGCTGCCAAGGACAAGGCCCTCCTCCAGGGGGTCAAGAGGGAAAAAGGAGTGTACTTTTTTCTTTAGTGCTGGGGTAACTTGGTAAATCTTTTAGGAATTACTTTAAGGAGACTAGTCTCTACACAGGGGTTTTGGTTGGAATCGGCATTTGTGGTAGGATTGTTTTTTTTCTCTTCACAGACTCTGGTTTGGTTTGTGGAAAGACTTTGAAAATGGTGTGTGGAAATCTACAATGTGAACAATGAAAACACACACCAACAATCCACAGGGGCACTTATGACTCTGGAGGTCCCCGACATCTAAAGGCATGCTAGATGGGTAGAAAGTTAACAGGTGCACAGAGGAACTAAAGACTTTACTGCAGTAACAGGCAAAGCCCAAAATAATGGGCATTCAGGACCGGCACTGTGTGACAAGAGGACAAATCAGAGACATAGAATGGAGTCCACCATTACAGTGTACTGCCTCTTGAGGAAATAAGATTCATAATTGGGACTGAAAAGCTTACAGGGGAGAGTGCAGGGGAGGAAAAAAAAAAAAAAGTCTGCAGTTAGGTCCAGTATTACTGAAAAAAAGATATTTTGGAGTTGCTATGGGAGCACTGAGGTTTTGGTATCTGAGACATGCTGCTGTGCTCTACTCCTCCATGCACATGGGCAGGTTGACGAAGGTGAAGACGTTGTACTCGATCATGATGGAGAAGCAGAGGAAGACAGCATACAGGACCAGGACATAGATGCCCAGCTTCATGTCCAGCCTCCACTTATTCAGGTGGATCCCCAGAACCTGCACACATACAAAATACATCAGAGAGGCACGAATAGGAGCTACTATTATCCAAACAAAATCCTACGCTTAATCAGTTTTCTGACGGCAGTCTTTGAAAAGATGACTCAATACCAAACAGCTTAACTGTGCAGCCAATCCTCGTAATATGCAAATCTGATCTTCAAAAAGGTAATCTATCAGATGCATTTTTGGCCAGTTGTTTTATTAAAGCCGAGATAATCTTTTTCTATTAATGAAACTGGGATTCTTTCTACGAGTGCTGATGCTGCATTTGTTTATAGCTACAGTAAATGGGGTAAATCAGAGACAGGAACTGTGTCATCAGTTTTCAAGGTCTTACATTTTCACACACTTGCTGTGTGGGGACCCATGTTTATTTGACATCACATTGTGAAGGGGTCGTTTAAGAAAATGTGTCCCACTTTCTGACGAGAACTCTGATTTGCAATAAAGAGATTTTGGTTTACATTCTGGTTTATTTTCTCTAGTAAGACGTCTCACATTCCAATATCACTGAATGCATCACAACTAGCCGTTTATTCCTAAAAGAAAAATGCATCATTTCCAGTGCACCAGAGGAAAGACAGGAAAGACAAAGTGTTTATGATGCGGAATTTTTTTTACATTTTTATGAACCAATTACATAACCTGCTTCAGTCCCCATTACATAACAGGGCATCAGTCAGTGATGACCGTAGGCAAACAGGGATCTTTATTTTGTCTAAAAGACACTGGATTTCTACTTTAAAACACGCAAGGTACACTACAGTAATAAACCAGGTTGTCTTCCTGGAAGTGGTCGACATGTGGCACCGGCGTGGCGTAAACATCATTAACTATTGCTCACCGTGAGGGCCACAGAGCCCAGCAGAAGCACCACTGAGTACACCAGCCCCCGACTGTTAATCATCACCTGCAACACACAGGGCAAAAGCTCAGCGATTCATTGGCCGTCATTAAATGTTATTACTCACTGCGAGACATAAGGACACACTGGATTTTGTTGTCACTAATAAGGTCTGAGATGTGGCATAGAAAACTAGCTCCTTACCTCTGATCCATAGCTTACACACATGGTCTGTATCGCCCAGGGAACCCCCAGTCCCACCAGAATATCAAACACGTTGCTGCCGATTGTGTTGGACACCGCCATGTCTCCCAGACCTGCAACAAAACAAAGAGCAAATGAAGCAGCAGTTTTTTTTTCCTAACAAACAAAAAAACAAATCTTTATTTCCAACTGAAGATCAACATTTCTCTGTTCTGTAGTTTCAGCTGGGAAGGCAGTTACGCAGGGCTACTTAGTAATGTGTCTGCACTGTTTTTTCTTGCCCCTGTACTTTAAAGTGCTTTGTACAAATTCCTATTTGAACAATTTGCTTCCATGCATGTACTGTAGGTGACACATCTGTGTGTGTGTGTGTGTGTGTGTGTGTGTGTGTGTGTGTGTGTGTGTGTGTGTGTGTGTGTGTGTGTGTTGCACTACATTTGTAAAAGCTCACAAAGTACAGTTTTGCATATCTGGATGTCTAAGTTTAACCAACTATAGCTCAAATTCACACACACGTTGACTCCATCTGCATGTAAACAGCTTACAGTGCATTCTTACTTATCAAGACGTTGTGATACATTTCTCTACTTCTTCCATCTCTTCGCTCTCACGTCAAACTACCTCAAGCTATCCACAAAGACACTGCATCTATATTCGTATTTTAATGTTTATTTTAATGATTCAGCCAACTAGCCATCGGGGATCATAAAAGCATACACATTTTTTAAAATTAGATGTTCTGGTGGACTAGTGGTATTAAATATACACCACATAAACACAACGTCCGGCTCTCCACTGCATAATAGAACCATAATACAATAGCGATCTAAAAATGGTTCAAGGGGAAAGGTATACCTTGCCGAGCCACGATGAGACTGGCTATGCAGTCTGGGACACTGGTGCCTGCTGCCAGGAAAGTGATGCCCATGATGACATCAGGGATTCCCAGAGTGTAGCCAATTATAGTGACCTGAGAGAAATGCACAGGCAGTGTTAGGGCTCAAAAATAGCATTACCTGTTTCTATGAGCAAAGGCATGTCACATTCAAACACTAACAAATACCCATGTTTAATGTTTTATGCATTTTACTCTTTGTACCTACTCTCGTGGACTGTCTGTATATACTGAATAGATAAATTATTGAGTTATGTCCTATGGATAATTAATGTTACCCTCCTGGCAGGAAGCATAAGATGACTCATTTGACAGTTAATACTTCTATGAATCAAGGTTTCTTAAACTGTACTAATTCATTTTTACAGTACAACTCTTGGTTGTGATATATCCTGCTTTTCTGATTTGTGTCTTTGAATTTAAAGCTGCAACTAACAATTATTTACATTATCGATTAATCTTTAGATAATTCTTTCAATTAAATCCATTATAGTTTTTTCTCTAAAATGCCAGAAAGCAGTGAAAAATGTTATCAAATTGCATGTTTTGTTAAACCAACAGCACAAAATGTCAACAAATATTGACTTTACTGTCACATAAGTCTAAGAAATGCACAAATCCTTGTGAACTTGTGAATGTTTGACATTTTTACATTAGATTGGTTCCCAACTTGTAAAACAAAGAAAAGCAGAAAGATTTCCAGTGATAAAAATTCGTGTGAATTAATTTTATGTTGACTGACTGATGTGTTATACTACCGATACTCAAGTAAAAGTAAACACTGAGGTGCTGTGGTAAATACCTCATTCTAAAAATCTATTAAGTTCTTCCTTTCCACACAAACAGGTGTAATTACACTCACCATCCAGACCATCAAGTAGGAGAAGACAGCAATCCAGACAGTGGACAGGATGAAGGAAACCATGAAGAATTTCTCCCAGCGAGGCTTGGCACAGTTGGGGACGGTGAAGAACAGCAACAGGAGCAGAGGCCACGAGATCAGCCACTTGAACTTGCTGCCAATACCTCCTGCAGCAAAAATGCACATGAGCACAAGAGTTTAGCTCTTCAGCGTTTCATTGTGGGTTAAATTATAGTTGTTTCCCCTCGTTGATTATGTGGAGAATCTTTTCTGTCAAGCAACTGATTTCTAACGTCACACTTAATCAGGTATATTGACCTAATTCTATTCGATGTGCCAACAACATTTACAGTTTCAGAAAATGTAAGAAATCTGCATCACATCTTTGTTTTTTCCGACAGTTGTTTGTACCGTTAATTAGGTTTTATTGAAATGGGACAAATTAATAAATAGTGTTAAAAAAAAACAAAAAAAAACTGAAAAACAGGAGATATGTCTGCTTGTGGCCAAGCTATGGCTCCATTTGCTTTTATTCCCTCTTTGGCTTTAGTGAAAAGGATAAACATACCCATCCATCCGTCATTTAGCACCAATACTGAAAGCTTTTTTTTTTTTTTCCTGGCAAAAAGCTTTTATACTGACGGCACCCTTTTCCTGTTTTGTGGTACAAGATTTCAGCAGACAGACCGCACATGGCACCTCAAACACCAAAACTTTATCCTCCTCCGTTCCACTTCTTTTAATGCCTTTTCGCCTAATATAACGCAACAACACTTCTACCCACTTTGACGAATTGGTCTGTTTCGTGTTAAATCAGATTAATCAGATTCAGATTCTTTTCACATCAGCAGCCACTGACTGATAAAAGGGCAGGCCCGCTCAGAGCTGTCAAAGAGGGTGATCATTAGTCAGTACATATGCAGCCACTGACTAATTTGAGGGAGGACATCAATAACTGTTGAAGCGGAAAGAAATTCTTAAGCAGATTGAGCAGAGCTGTCCAACTAAAAATGCCTTTCAGTATTAATAATGCTTCAAGTTGTTGAAATAACCAACACAGGAGGATGTATAATAGATTCATAAATATATCAGAACTGTCAAAGATGTGAAGATGCTTCATAATTAGGTTGTTCCTGTATCTCTTTACCCCCTAAAGTATCCGTCCATGTATGCCAAATTACACACATTCATCAAGTAAATACATGCATCACGTACTTGGAATGTGAAACGGTGAGATGGTTTCATTTTCCTCCGCCTCGGTGGGTTTGTCCTCTGGCACGTTCCCGTTCTCGATTTCAACCTTCCCGTCAATCACTTGTGTCTCCACGCCATTGGCAGCTTGGACCAACTTCTGGCGCTTTCAGAAAACAGAAACTAAGTCAAAGAGCACATGAGCAGACGTGCCGCTCCTTTGATTGCTGAGCTACTGCCAAAAGTTTTACTGCAATCGTGTGTCTTTGCATCCATGGAAAACACAAACATATATGTACACTGTGAGATAAGGAGTTTATAAAAGAGTTGAAACTAAACTCAGACATGCGACGCTGCAAACACTCTAGAGAAAGACTGGAGCAATAACGCCCAGCTGTACCTCTGTAATGATGAGGCGACTGGCCATGCGCAGACGGGTCTTGGGTCCAAAATGGCTGGTGACCATGACACGGAGGCCAGCCTCTGGAAACCTGAACTTTGTAGGGCTGGCGTTGATGATCTCGTCCACCATCACCACTGAGCCACGGCTGTAAGCCTTGCTGGGCTTGACTAAGGGGTGGAGGGATATGATACAAATATCAAAAAATAAATAAAAGGAAATGAATGAATGAATGAATGAATGAACTGTGCATCAATCTACCCAGATTAACACACAGAACTTTTTTTCATTTGTTTAATTCAAGTTCATGTACTTACTCCCTTCATGACTGAAGTGCTTTGTGACACTGGTTTTTAAAAAGTGATATGCAAATAAAGTCAATTATACCCCATTGGCAAAAGTGCAAATTACAAGATGGATTTGCACTTCTATATCACCTAGTCTTACTAACCACTCAAAGAGCTTTACAATACTTGCCACATTCACCTACATTCATACATCACACTCATACACTGATGAAACAGCCATCAGGATACTTCGACATGTGGCCTGGAGCAGCCAGGGATCGAACCACCGACCTAATTAACGGACGACCACTCTACCTCCTGAGCCACAGCCACGACTAAACAGCTAAATAAAAAGGGGCATCGTCATTAAGAGAAACATACTATACTATGAATATTTTCAGTGTCATTTTCTACTCTGTGGCGCTAGTTTCCTGGGCCAAGGAATATTAATGGGTGCTGAACCAAAGCCATTTTGTCTCTATGCCAGAGTTAAAGCTGCCATAGGCCATTCTTTTTATGTCAAAATATATTCCTATTACCCTAAAATCACAACATGGACCGGAAGTGGACAGTTCAATACACACACAAATCAAAACTTGAGAGCAAAAACGTCCCCTAAACAAACTGCGTGAATGTCTTATCGAGACAAGTTGGGGTGTTTTCCAAAGCTCCGGAAATCACTCCTCCTGTCACTCATCTCTCCCTCTACAACCTAGATGATGTATGTTGGTGCCTTCATGTTGCTTGTTGCCTCAACGGAGACGAGGGAAGCGATTCTTAGTAGAACTGTTTGATTGAGGACACATAGGCGAGTGTCGACTTTCTAGGAAACAAAGGAAGGGATCATCACGTGTAGGACTGAACCATTTTAAATCCAGTATCTCTGAGCATGTAACATGTCATCACCGTCCTTGCATCTAAAAAATGTCGACGTTTCATGAGTGAGTTCCTTGTGGCGATGCCTTTTTCAGTTAATTAAATGAACAGTTTTTAAATAGTTTAGTTTCAATCAATCTTTCAGTGACTCTGAAATGAAATTTGGAGATAGGTGGTTTTCACTGGACAGTGATAATGTTGACAAAGATTCACTTGTAAGATTGCATTAACTTGCATATATTAGTACAGTGTTGTAAATATGAAAGGTGAGCAATTTCAGTCATGATGGGAGCACTTGATCAAAAATTCATCTAGTTTTTATGGAGTCGCTGATTAAAGTCCCAAATCTTTCCTCCGCTTCACTCCAGGCTCATGTCGTGGAGGAACGGAGGAGTTTGAGATTCACCATATGACTCACCTTGGGAAAAAAATCACCACACAATAGTTGGGTGGGTTAACATGAGGGTGCTGTGCACAGTTCACATGATGATGTCTGGGTACTGAACTTCAGATAGCTCTCCCAAATTGCCTGGTGGAGCTTTGAAGTTTACCTATCAGTTGTGAATATTTATGGGCCCACTGACATTGATTTCTAAATCTGTGACACTGGAGATGTAACCTCTGGCATCTTTGACCTCACAATCTCAAACTGTTACGCGGGTGGTCACTCCCCTTCAGATAATGTGTGTTCTGACAATAATGCATATCTTAAAAAGGTTTTATTGGCATCCTATAACTCCTCATTTGCTCTTTGCTCACAATTAGCTATAAGATGCAGTGTATGGGGAATGAAAAAGTTCTACAGGACACTTATTAGTTTAACTCAGCCTTAATTTGACTCATTATACATGCAAGAATGCACATAAATTAACTGTGTAAACAGAGACAGCATAAACAGTTCCTCTTGTGAAATTCATTACCACTTCAGGAGTGAGTGGCTCAACACTCCAGAGACCAGCAGAAGAAAAGTAGTATGCAAGTGGAAAGAATTGGCACACAGCAGCACAACACTGTTGACAGTAAGCAAGAATAAGTTTAGTAAGGCTAAACAGACAGGCATGTTAACACTAGTACAGCCAAAGTGGGAAGGGTTAAACCTCTCGGAGGGGTTAAATGTCACTGAGTAGAAGTTTTTGAAAGGTCGAAAAAGGAAAAGGGAAGAAGTGGAGAACTGTGGCACCCAAACATGACATTGAAGATGCTATTCAGAAAAGGTTGAAGAGACCCCAAGACAACAAAGTCCCCTGACATTAAAAACTGCATTACCGAAGGAAGATAAAAGAGTATCTTCATTACACTTTTGCCATTTTCAACAGGAACATTTTATTTTGTGGCCCCTATATGCTCAGATAAGCTTCAGTTGCTTATCACCCAAAAAGGGAGGAACATATCCAACTTTTAAAGGGGAAAAAGAGAAATTTAACAAACTGGGCCTTCAGGTAGTGCAGTTCACAGATGCTGGAGGACTGAAACTTACTTTGGAAAATTTAGCAGTTTGCTTCTCATTTAAAAAAAAGGAATAGTTTGACATTTTTGAGAAATATGTTTATATGCTTTCTCACTGAGAGTTATCAAGATCACCACCACTCATGTCTGTACACTAAACATAAAGCTACAGCAAGCAGCCTGTTAGCTGAGCATACTGTACCATAAGAAGAAATGGACTAAAAGTGTTACCTTTGGACAAAGCCAGGCTAGCGGTTTCCCATGTTTCCAGTCTGTAATGCTAAACTAAGCTAACCGGCTGCTGGCTATAGTTTCATTTTTAGCAAGCAGACATTAGAGTGGCATCATCTACTCATTTAACTGTCAGCAAGGAAGCAAATTGTTATATTTCCCCAAAGATGAGGAACTATTGTTTTGAGTACATCTCAGCAGAATATAGTATAAGCTGAAGCAAGTTAAGTTAGTTCAGCTGAAGGGGGGGAACGTTTAAAGCCACAGACCTTTTAGTAGAAAGAAACACCCACAGTCTTCCAGAGAAAGTCAAATCATCTCATTTCATGGCCGAGTTATCTCAATCTTATTTCAACATAGATCTGATTAATTTCCTGGCAGAGAATAGTCTTTAGTACCCAGCCTGTCTGATTAACCTTACCTGCTGAGAGTAAAGGCGATGACGGGTCGTCATCCCAAACATAGTCATAACTAGTATTACCGTCCTCCATCTCACTGCTTGCCGCAGCGTTACCATTGGCCACGTTCTTCTTCGACTTCCCCATGAAAAATTTCTGCATGCTGGAGTTGAATCTAGTAAACAGATGGAACATAATCCCTAAATTAGAGATGCTGAAATAGTTCAGCTGAGAGTCCAAAAAGGGAAGAAAAATAAACAAGATAGGACATCCAGTGTCAGGATTCACATTTGCAAATAGGGTTTACAGTATGAGCTTCAGATGAAAGGCTCCCACTCGTTTGTAATGTTGTATAAATTAGCCAAAATAAAGTCTCTACACTCCATACATCTATAGAACGAATTTACAGTTAAAGTGGCCTACTTTCTGAAAAAAAAAGAAAAAAAAAAAAAAAAGAGCATCAGCACTACACTAACTAAAAAAAATGGCTGAAATATGCTGTTTCTGCACTGGCACAGAAAAGGAAGAGAAAGCCAGAAATGTTCACAGAAGCCAATCACAAGGCTTTCATCAGCCACACGGGCCTTCAGTAAGACCATTTGAGTGCGTTACATAAAAATGGATCAAAAATACTGAACTGAGTGCTGCTGCTGCCTTTGAACATAATATGCGCAGAGGCAACACCAGAAGAGCTGTGCTCAGAGGTCCAGCATCAGAAGCCGACATTAGCACTAAAAATGTGTTACAGTTTCAGTGTACAATTTGGAAGAAATTATTTAACAGTATCATCTTAATTCCACATTTAATATTACTTTCAGTTTTTCCCTTGTGTGAATTTAAAGTTTAAGGATAGAGGTTGTTATATTTTGTACAGATTGTAAAGTGTGGAGGCAAAAGTGACAGACAGTAAAAGATTATCAGAAGAGTCAATAATATAACAGATGACAATAAATAATAGTTACTAAACAAATATAAAATCGAATACAACATGTATACTTTTCCTTCAACCTCCAATCAGGCAATAAGCGAAAAAGCTATCTAACTTAATTCACAACCAGCTTTTTTCAGCTAGCTACCTAGCTAAAGCTAACTTTTATATATCATAAAACTACACCAGCCAGTGCATGTAATGTTAATTGTCCATACTGTGTGCTCATGTGGTGCAGCATCACTGTAAACTTTTGTAGCGGAACCTAAAGCCTTTCGTTAGCTAGGCGCCACTATGAAGTTAGTTAACCTTGGGGGGAAAAGGAGACATTAAATCAAATACATCCACAAAATGTCAAGGATGATGAAAAAAAGTCCAAGTCAAGTCCTCCATGAAGAAGAGGCTTGAAGATGAAGATGATGTTGTAAAGACAGACACATGATCCGTTTAAGACGGTATATTTTGTCAGTTTTGGGCCAAGTATAATTGACCAATCTCAAACTCAACTAAAATTCAAAAGTAGAGAGGTTTTTGTATTTAAATGAATCTTTTACCGTCACTTTTTCCCTTATGTCATTTGTTTCACATTTGGCAGGAAGTGTGCCATTTGCTTGGAGAAAAAAAAAAAAATAAAAAAAAATAAATCACAGCAGAGCCCTGGAAGGTCACCTCAGAGCTGTGACTGCGCTATATAAAACCCACTCTGCTCCATTTTGACTGGAACAGCCCAAAATGGTTAGCAGATATTTTGGGAGAGGGGAGACATATGACAGTGTATCCTACAGTAAGCACTTCTTTCCTCCAAATGAGAAAGGAGAGGAGTGATCCAGTTAAGCCTGTGCTCTTAGCCACTGCAGAGGGAGAAAGATTAAACTCTTATGGCAGGGAGAGAGCAGACTGCTGCTGAGTGTAACACAGATTACCAGCTGGACAGACACAGCAGCACAGGACGATGTGGTTGGCATTAGGCAGTTTGGACTGTAAAGACACAAATAGAGTGTAATAGAGGAGTCTGTTATTTGCTGAATTTTGACAGTAAAGGAAACAGGGGACAAGGAGTTCTCAGGGCAGATTGTAAGATTGTGATCATCCAGTTTAACATTAAGTAACACTTCTAATCCTTTAATAATTATCACAAGTTTAAAAGAAAACTACAATATGTAAATATGATAAATTCATGTATGTTTCATGGGATTACAGATTTTTTACATATGAAATGACTAAAGTTAATCATCAGTTGAAGTGAAACTATTGAAAACGGAATATTGTCGACAGGTAGATACTATGTGGAGCATTTTTAAAAAAAAATATATACACACATTATCTAATTTTAACATCTAGAATAATTGTCAAAAGACAAGGTAACATGCTGTTATGATAAACCTAGCTGAACAAAATGCATCATAAAAATTGCATTTTGCAGTATCTTACTTCTGAAGAGGAGCAACATTTTTCAACACAAGTGCTCCACAGTTGAGTCTGCAGCTAACATCTGTGCAGGCGATATGAATGAGACACTCCCCTCCAGCTGGAAACTCACTCCTCTCTTGTGAAACTACTGTGTGCGCAGTTGGGCATACTCAGCAGCTCACAGGTGTTAGTGTGCAAGCATCCCCCCACCCCCTATGCACACACTCATCTTTTTATGGTGATGTGGTATTCAACTCGCAACATGAATATGCAGAACTCACTTCATGACGAGGATGTATCCTGCGTACATGAGCACCAGCACCAAACTCTCCCACCTGATAAAAAACAACAACAAATTCAGGTTTCCCGCACACTTATAAAAATAAATAGAATATCCAAGATCTTTCAGCTTATAGGAGTATTTCCAAGTCTTCTAGTTGCCTGCTACAACCATTACCATTGGTAGTATTACCATGAGAACATGACTTATGAGAAAATCAATAGTTAGGGCTGTAAGGCTGTAGCAGCAAAATCCTTGAGTGCATAGAATTGAGCAACAGTGAGTTATAGCTAAAGTGGATTATAAAAAAAAAAAACTTACCAAACTATTTTCTCATCGTAGATGAACTGAAAAATGAAGGAAATCATTCCTCTTAGATTAGAAAGTCTCAGCTGATGTCCATTAATAAATGCACATGGTGAACTTCATCGACTTACTGCAATCAAAGCCAAAACAGACAGGATGTAGTAGAAGGAATCCCTGAAAACAGCCCACCAGGTCAGTATCACCACCTAAGATTTCACAGCGGAAAAAGTGAAGTCATATTTGAGATCTATGTGTATTAGTGAACAGTGAAAGAGTTGAGAAGAATCACAGCTTTATAATCTGTTTACGCCTCCAGAGTTTAGGTCTCCAATTCTACTAAAACCAGTTCTGAGAAAGCTAACCGAAGCAGATGGCTTTGTTTCCCCTCAGCAAAAAAACTTCTGCCACACATGTGCTACTCTGCAGTCTATAAATAAACAGAATGATGCAGCTGCAGCAGTAAGTCACTCCTTCTCCCACACACACACACACACCTGTCCAGCGAAGATCCCGCAGACACCAATGATGCAAAGGATGTTGAAGACTGCTGAGCCAACGATGGTCCCCACCCCCACATCACCGTGGGTGATGAAAACACCTGCACACAGAGAGGCCAATCAGAATCAGCGGTGACACCAACCATCTGGGAATGTCTAAGTGTATGTATGCACACTCTGTGTATGTGTTTGTTTACCAATGACAGATGCAAAAAGCTCTGGGGCAGAACTGCCAGCTGCCATGAAGGTGGCTCCAGCAACATCTTCGCTCAGATCTAGTTTCTGCAGAAATACAACAAAAAGAGATGGTTTACACACACACACACACACACACCAGCATTGTGTTACTCCAACACTGAAAGATGAAAAACTACAAGGTCCAAATACCTCACAGAGTTTCTCCAGCGATGTCACAAAGTACTCGTCGCAGGTTATGGCGAGGGCCAGAAACATGTAGAGCGTCTGCAGACAGAATCAGCAGAGTTAAGTGTGTGAGAGTGTGTATGTGACACGAGCAAAACAGAAGTGAGAGGAGTGTGTGTGTGTGTGTGTGTGTGTGTGTGTGTAGATACACAGCTGAGTTAAGAGAGCCTTGGCAGAGCAAAGATATTCTCCTGCTAAAGGATGGGTGAAGGGGAATCCCAAAGCACAGCACCCAGTTAAAACTGAACCTGCATTAAATTCGAAATGTCAGTTCAGTGACGAGTTGTTTTCCCTTACTATGTGAAAAATCTACTGGACCTGCATAACCCCATGGGGCGTAGGAGGGGCGGGGCCTATTTTAGTAGCTGTGGAGAGCTCTATTAATTATAGATCAGCTGTGACATCATCATGGCCCGGCAGCTCTGGCAGGTGTGCTCTGCTCTATGCTATCCACAGGGGGCAGTGCAGGACTGCAGTATGATCAGATCTCCCCCTTCAGTTTTGGTCATATCTGTAATAAGACTCTTCATATCCTGGTCCTAAAAATTTCTATATGCCACTAAGGAGATTTTTTTTTTTTTAACCTTACATGGAAAAAACAGTGATCAGCAGATTTAGATTAGGCTACATTTAAAAAAGGAAAGATTCATAAATTTTCAGATTTGTCTTAAAAGCAATAGTCAGGTGCTAAAATAAGCAATTTGCTATAATCACTCTTTCTGTTCATACTGGTGATTTAAAGACCCATTCATAATGCACTTCCAATTTAATGGACAAACTCCAGTCTTTTTCCTATGAAACAATATTCAAAATTATATCCGATATCTTGTTTTAGTATGAAATTGCCTCTTTACCTTTCCCAGCAGCAGGGGTGGGATGGTAACAAAAAATTGATTGAAAGAATTTTTTACCCACAGAATGTAACTTTAAGACAGACTATCAATAATACATTATTAAAAAGCTTCAGCATTTTGCTCCCAGAATCCAAGCTTTGAAACAGTATTTCAGGATACAGCCCTGGATGGGTTTAACTAAAAAAAAAAAAAAAAACTTAAAAAAAAAAACTTTTTATAGCCAGTTAAATCCAGCATGAAGAGTTTATTCACAGGTGCTTTAAAATGAACAATGCTCAGTAGCTCCACTGGAATCCGCAGGTGGCCTGTGTGTATATGTCAAAGTCAGTGGAGCTTAACATGAATGAATGTAGACAATAATGTTTTTTAAATGTGGAGAAACACCTCTAACCCATAAGAAGAGACATGTGCAGGTCCTTATTCCTGATCTGGGCCTGGATTTACTGCAGCACCATTCTTATGAATCATGTGCAACATTTCAAATGAGACTGAAAATACTTCCACCGCCATATTTATGAAGCTTTCTGCATTCACTCAAAGAGCTGAAGCTCTCCTTAGAGAGGTATCATCATTTTATGACACTCAGAGCCATTAAATTAAAGTAATGACTTTTTGTAGTTCCCTTGTTGATGCAATGTGCATTTGGTGCATTCAAATGACAATTCCTCTTGGCCTGCATCAGCTGTGATGTTTAGCTAGTGAGCCCTTTATTTTAGGACAGTAGCAGCCCTTAAATGTGAATGTACCCTGAAAAAAAGATTGGCTGCTTTATCTTGTATGTGTATTATGAGCCTGGATGTGTTCATTTGTGTTTTTACAATTCCCTAGTTATGACTGCTTCCATTGGGAGTGTACACCAAGTATTGGTGAGGATGCATCATTTGTTTCATATGCCATTGACCCATGTTCCATCTTGTTCCCTCGTTCCATCTAAAGATAAAAGCTCAATAAATGCTTTATTAATTTGTCTTTCTTTCCCATATACCTTTCTGATTAAATATGTTGAGCTGGGTCTGAGTTTACATTTATATAAGATACTGTGAGGACAAAAATGGGCGCAAGCTGGTTTTAATAAGATCACAGGTTTCCTCTGAGGGATTTTTAAAATCTGGCTAGGCAAAAACTACTACAATGCCCCCACCTTACCTTCAGGCTTTAAAAACTGGAAAAGCAGTTATTGGGTATGTGAACAGCTTCTAAATCCAACTGCAAAGAGCTGAGCTCCACTGAGAGTGTTGACCAGGGACCAAAGAGAAGGGTGTTGCAGGTGCCGTTTCTTAAAAATAATTAAAAAAAAAAAAAAAAAGCCATCTTACCGCCACAATGTGCAGCAGAATGGCCCCACTTTTTCGTTCCTTGTTGGTGAAAAGGTCATCGGGGAACTCGTGTATTGCTGAGGAGAGAGGAAATGTCACGGTCACCACACATCAGCAGCATGACAGTGAGGTACATGTCCCCGCCCCGCCCTGAGAGGACCATGTGACTTCATGATGGATGTCAGTATGGCCCGGGATGCCATGGTGGTTCAGCAGGGTTACACGCAACTCATTTGGTTGCGGCACCTACGGGAGTGTTATTCCTTCTCTTCTATCTCTTTCCAGTAGATTATTTAATACAGCAAAAACCTCTCGTATACCTTAAAACAGGGCACCACAGCCAGAAAGGGTCAGATGCAAATTAAATAGCAGCCTGTGATCATCATCCAAAAAAAAAAACTGAAAACTCAAGACATCATCAAGGGCTTCAAATTTTTCAAAGGACTGAAATGGTTCAAAACATTTTCTGAAAATCATCTTCAGCCTCACCGCAACCAGTGACTTCTTACCTATTCAAGGAAAAAAAAAATAATAAAGAGAACAAGAATCAACCATCACATCTCTGAACTGTTGTAAAAAGGGCTTGGGCTATATTAAGAGCCTGAAGTCATACAGAATTAAAGCGAGCAGGCAGAAAAACCTCCCATGCTGAGGACTCATCATCCATCAGCCAGAGCTCCAGCTGGAACACTGTGTGATCATGGTACCACCATACGGCTCAGATCTCTGGGAGCACAGCCACTCCACAGTGCACCTGGCTGGAGACAGAAGCTGGTTGTTTCCCTGACGGGATCTGGCATCTGTGGGGAGCGGCCTCTGTCCGACCTGTCCCCGCTGGGCCCGAGCTGCAGGCCCACATCTCGTCTTGCCTTATAACAAGCCTGCAACATTACCAGCATATTGCTTACATAAGCTACAGCTATCTCTGAGCTACAGTTAGCCTTATACTGCAGCCAGGATAAACAAGACTAGGAGTCTCGAGCCATGGCTGTTTGAGGGTGTACTTAGTGCTTTCAGCTGAATGCCAACATCAGCATGCTGACATGCTTACAACGACAAACACGTTAATGTTTAGGGGCTAAAAAGTTTACCATGTTCCCAATCAAAGTGTAGCATATTAGTGAGTGATAAGGGAAAACTTCAGTTGCTAGTGACGCTAGATGAAAAGTCATAGGATCATAAAGGTCAGTGGGATTTGTTCTTTTGGGCAATGGTTCTCAAAGTGGGGTCCAGGGAACCCCAGGGGTCCTTGAGGGCGTTCCCAGCAAAATGGGAAATGATTTATTTTATTATTTATGTATTTCCTTCCATCCAAGTAACACAATGACAGACTATTATACTACGACTATTTTGGTCATTGGTTTCAAACACTTTCAGCAATAAAACATCTAAAAACAAACATTTTATCAGATGGGGGATATGGGACAAGATGTTATCAAATAAGGGTTCATTGTCTAATTTGTGTCAGTTCAGGGGTCCTTGATGTTAAAAAGTTTGAGAACCACTGCTTTAGGGACCATGAATCTCTACAAAATTTCATGGCAGTCCAGCCAATTGTTGTTCACATATTTGGACCAAAATGTAATGGGCCCAAAATGGACCAAAGTGGTTGATCAACAGTCTGACCGACCCTGGCCATCACTAGAACTGCTTTGCTGTTGTCCTATTTATACATAAGACTTTGAAAAACTCAAATACGCAGATGATGTAAGAAACAGCAGAACAATGCTGTTTACAACGGAACATAAAGGCAAGATTTAGGCCCTTGTCACATATGGACTCATGAAGCGGAACAGTGCTCACCTGAGACTTCTCACTGCATCTGTCCCCACCTCACCGATGTCTGTTTTTATGATTGTCGACGTTGTGTGTACACATGACTGCATCAGCGCAGCATTTGGAACACTGCACAGGCAAATCAAATACTCCGCAGGATGTAGTCCAAGCCCAATTAATCAACTGCATGCCTCCTGGATTTCATTCAATTACATCACGTATATGGAAATGTGGTACACTTTGCATCTCCATATGTCATCTAACACATTATCTTTGCCACAGAACAAAGAGGCACAACACAAAGAAACTACAACGCTATTTCTGGCAGTGGGACACAAATTAATCCGACCTTGATTTGTAGGAGATTTGGGATCTCGCAGGCGACACTGCAGCGCTCTGACTGCCTTCACGACACAGTAAATGAACCTGATTAGATTAAGGGACAGAATAACAAGTTGAATATATGAGTAATGTGGATCATGATCTTAATGTACAGTATAATGAGAAACTGGAGAACACCTGGATGACACTGAAAACACTGACTGTGGCTGGCAGCTTTATCTCATTTCATTTCTGACGGGTTTATGTGCTGAATGAAATGTGTCGGAAAGCCGACGGCCTCAAGCAAAGGCGCAATCAATTACAGGATTTGTCAGCTCTGCCCTCAGAGGTGACTGAAAACACACTGATGCCAATACAGAAGGCTAAACTCCTACTGATACCTCATGGACAAACAACACCACAACCATATATTATTCTAGCTCCACAAGGTTGCCTGTTAAACTTCTGAAAAACACGGGAAAAATATCAGGTTTAAATTCCCTGCTAAGTCTTTTCACCTCCTGCTGGCATGTTCAGCTAACAGCCTTGTAGGTCTTCCATTAATCAATAATTAAATGCCATAGCCATCCATGTTCTTCAGTTACCCGTTCAGCCCCCTTGCTGCTATGTACAATCAGCTCTAGCTGAGTGTGTTAAAAATAGGTGATCACAAAAGGTGTTTAAAGGGCGCCAGCACTGGGACAGCTGAGATATGACAGGCAGGCTGGGGTCACCTCCCAGTCCCTGTAAACACTCAACCAGACAACGTCTGCAGGGTTCGTCTGTGTCTCCTCACTGTAGAGGTCAAACCGGACATGAACATGCTTCCACAGCCATTCCCCACACAAGGACAGGACAGGATGTACACACAGCGGAGGGACGACGGACAGACTGCTTAAGTGATGCATCTCAAATGAGGTCCATAAATAGAATCATAAATAATATGGAGCTCAGTTGAATCAAATGTCATTTTGACAGAAATGGAGGAAATAAATTGGAGAAGGCATATCGTCAAGATGCCTTGGGGATGTATACATTGCAGAAATCCTTAGCCGACAGCTAAAATCAAATCCGGGGTTTATTTTCGAATCTTTAATGATGACTGAACGTGTGCAGGTTACAGCTTCTTGAAAGCAGAGAGTTTAGGGCTACGACTAACAATTATTTTCATTATCGATTAATCTGCTGATTATATTCTGCACATCTGAAAAAAAAAAAAAAAAAAAAAAAAGTTTAAATTTTTATCTATCCTGCTGTTCTTGTGTTTGTATGGGGCTGCTGTCTTTTTTCGGAGGCAGCAAGGAAGTGCGAACGAGGGACGTCTGGACTGGCAGGGCATCCTTTTTAGAAGCTAAGCTACAAATCTATAAATAAACTCCGGATTCTCTGTTTGGACACCTGACTGTGCCGCTTATGCAAGAAATTACTGGCAACACTTTTGTTCATCTGTCTCCCCAACACCCTCTTCCTCATCTTACACCCCAGAAGTAATTACAAGTCCACACAGAGTAGTCACAAGAAGTGTTGGGAGGATTTTATGTAATGCAGTGTTGCCACCCTCCACTGTAATACTTTGAAGGCCAACACTGACTACATTGTCATCAGTCAGGGACAGTACAGAAATTATTATGAAGGGGAGGTGTGTGTGTGTGTGTGTGTGGGGGGGGTGCTTTAATGTGCACAGCGGGCTATAAAGGAATGCACAGCACAGCAGTCCTGTGTGCTTGCCTATCATACTCAGCTATACCTCAATCGGTCAGCTTTTTGAGAAAGCGAGAACAGAGTGGTTTTAACATTATCTTTAACAGTCACTCCCACATTCACAACAAGGAAAAAGTTGTAACATGTAATATGAAGTTAATCCATAATATTTAAAAATTCAGCTTGGGCCACTCATAGTGACAGTCACAATTTTTTGCTTAGCAGCTTTTTATTTGGAAAACACACTGGAATATTCACCATTTTGTTATATTTGCCATAAATACACCTATTTTTAAATTTTTTAATGTATGAATAGTGGTTAAGCGAAAACCGTTGCTCCATTAAAACATTGTGGTTTATTCTTTGTGTTTTGCCTCTTTTAGTTATTAATGATCAAATAAAATGAACCAATTTAATACTGTTCTATTATTTTGGAGACATTTGGGGGGAGAGAATTGCAGGGTTTTATCTTAGTCAGGTTAAAAGAAAATAACCCAGGTGAGTGCTTTCCTTTTTAAAAAAAGAAAGTGAAACTTGAGGTTCGGCCCCCCTCCATAGCACCAATCATTTTAGCACAGTCCCTAAAACCCAGTTTCATAAGATTCATGCTTTTATTAGATGTACTGTATGTACTTTTGTGGATTTATAGCACTGCTTGCTCTAGGGCTGTAAAATCAGTGATTTAAAAATAAATAAATAAAACAATAAATTCAAAAATCTCAATTTCGTCTCTACACAGGCCACTTTCCACGGTTTTAAGTCTTGGTTAATATACAAAAATCCCCACAGATAACCTTAATATACTGATGTATTAAAGCTAATGCTAAAGAGCCTGCGGGCCATTCTTTACATTTGTGCAATTATTATTCCATAATCTGGTAATATTCCAGATAATATGGTGCCGTTACATAATGGAGCTCAGTATCAGGTGCCGTCTGTTGCCCCAGAGGAGGACTGGCAGGACTAGGGATGTGCATTTTCAGTAATTTCAATATTCGAGTACTCATTACCTTATGAACGTTATTTATATATATTCGGACACGAACCTTCCCAACCAAGCCCACTGTTTGGCTGTCAGAGAACATGATATGCAAGTTTAACGCCACATATCTTGCACTGCACGTTATTGTTGTCTTTTTTAATCAAAGTATTTCCAGACATCACTTTTCCTGGTCACGGCTGCCATGGTGCACGTAACACCAACTGAGTTGTAGCCAAAAACAACATGTGCGCAGGTGCGCGAGTGGTTAAACGCTACTAGAATAATGACGTCAACAAC